CCCCCCCCCATAGCCCCTCCAATCATCCCACCCATCACCCATCGAGTGCTGCCCCCACAGCACCATTGCTTCTATCCACCACCCAATTTTGAGGGGGGGGGGCTATTTGTCCCATGCGGGGGACGATGGACCTTTGGCGGTGGACAATGGAGAGAGGAAGTCCAGCAGAGGAGGAAAACTGGCTTGGAATTGGCTGAAGAGGGTGGCGGGGGGGCACATCGAAGTGGCTCAGTGCCTACATGCCCTAGTGCAGTGGTCGCCAACCAGTGGGCCGGGGACCCCTGGTGGTCCGCAGAGAAAATTTGGGTGGTCCGCAGAGAAATGTCCCCCCCAAAGCAATTAATCCAGGCTGCGCGGGAACGCAAGGCTGCGCCGCCCACAAGGTCCTCAGGAACACAAGGCTTATGTCACTTGCATTGCAAACAACACGAGGTAGTGAGGGGAGGGGGGAAGGGCAGGGGGGGTGACTTGTCCCACACACCTGGTCTGGCCACCGGGCTGCTTCTTTCCGCTTCTTTCTTCCTTCTGCTTTTGGCTGCACAGAAGGAAAGCAGCCAAAATCTTTCTTCCTCTTCCCCCAAACTCCGCCTGAAATGAGTCTTTGGGACCCTGCAAGGCCTCCTGCTCCAAGAGGCTGCACCGCTGGCAAAGACTCATTTCTGGCGGAGTTTGGGGGAGAGAAAGAAAGACTTCTGCGGCTTCTGCTATTTTCCTTGCATGAAGCCAAAAGTCTCTCCCTTTCTCTCTCTCTTTCCCCCTGAGAACGGAGCTGGAGACGGTCTCCTGCGATCCCAAATAAAGAACAATTGATTGGTAGGAAAACGGGGTGAGGGATTTTCCTGCAGACTTTTGGAGGGATTTTCCCAGGGTCTCTGGTCCGCGGGATTTAAAATTGTGAGTTTGGTGGTTCCTGACATCCAAAAGGTTGGCGATCCTTGGACTAGAGACCCTTGAAAAAAAGTCATGTCACCATTTTTCACACTTAACGACCGTTGCAGCATCCCCATGGTCACGTGATCAAAACTCAAGGACGCTTGCCCACCGGTGGTGCCCCTGACCACCAGGGAAGAAAGACCCCTGAAAGCTTGGCCACTTGACTCATATTTATGACGATGGGGGTCATGTAATCCCATTTTACAACCTTCGGACGAGCGAAATCAACAGGGGAAGCCAGGCTGACTTCACAACCAGGTGTCTAACTTCAAAATGGCGGCGATTCTCTTAACAACCTTGGCAAGAACGGTCCTAAAAATGGAGACCCAAGCCCACTTTCACCAATGCCTCACTCAGCAACGGAAATTTTGGGGCTCAGATGAGGCCATAGGTCGGAGACTAGCTGCCTCCTTTCCGCAGACGGAGTTGGCGTGCATCGCATGAATTTCGCAGCGCGATATTATCCCGTACACCCCATTATATTTCTCCTTGCAAATTACCGAGAGGGACCAACAATAAGAAAAATAGCCTGCTCTAAATAAATCTTTTCAACCGCCGTTGAAAATAAAAAAAAAGCCAAGGAATGCCCAAATAAGAGTCAGTGTTTGCTTCACTGATTTACACAAAGGCTTTTGATTGTGTCGGCCACATCATGCTGTGGAAAGTGGCCCGAAAAATGAAACACCCAGCACATCTCTTTGTATCCCGATGAGAAAAATTATGTGCAGGTCAGGAAGTCGCAGCGTGGACGGAACATGGAGAAATAGGTTGGGGCCAGGTTGGCAAAGGAATTACAGAATTGCAGAGCGAGCAGAATCGGAAGGCACCTTGGAGGTCATCTAATCCAACCCCCCCCCCTTGCTCAAACTGGAAATTCTATAGTGTTTTCAGACAAATGACTGTCCAATCTCTTGATCGCCACACTATAAAAAAGAGGTTGAGACTCTGGAAAAAATGCAGAGAAGAGCAACCAGGATGATTAGGGGACTGGAGGCTCAAACATACGACGAACGGTTGCAGGAACTGGGCCTGGCTAGTCTAGGGAAGAGAAGGACCAGGGGAGAGACAGGATAGTGGTCTTCCAATATTTGAGGGGCTGCCCCAGAGAGGAGGAAGGGGGTCAAGTTATTTTCTAAAATGCCTGTAAGCCAGACAAGGAATAATGGATGGAAACTGAACAAGGAGAGAGATTCAACCTGGAAATAAAGAGAAACTTTCTGACAGTGAGAACAACCAACCCATGGAACAGAAGTTGCCTTCAGAAGTTGTAGTTGCCTGAATCCCTAAAACTTTAAAGATGAATATTAATCACCACTGGTCCGAAGACGTGCATCCATAAAGACATGCACCCACAAAGCAAAGAACAATTTCAGAAGTCACCTAATTGCAAAGACAATGGAGAACTATTAAAAGTTGGAAGGGACCTTGGAGGTCTTCTAGCCCAACCCCCTGCTCAGGAAGAAAACCCCTATATCATTCCAGACCAATGGCTGTCCAATGTCTTGTTAAAAGCCTCCAGTGATGGATTCCCCCACAACTTCTGGTGGCAAGCGGTTCCACTGGTCAACTGTCCTCGCTGTTCGGAAATTCTTCCTTAGCTCCAGGTTGCTTCTCTCCTTAATGCGTTGCCATCCGTTGCTTCTCGGCAGAATAAAATGGATTATTTTTACCCGTTTTCCAGAAAGAAAGGGAATGATCGGTTAATCCAAAGCTTCACAGCTTATTATTTTGAATAGCACGTTTTTGCATCACGCACTGTTTTTGAACATCATCGTTGTTTGACGGGGGGGGGCAGAGGGTGTCTTGGTTATTCCCACCCCACCCAAAGGATAGACGGCTGGGCTCGCTTCTTAGATCCTTGAGAGGCTGAAGACACAAACCCACCCACAACACACACACACGCACACACGCACAGCAGAAATGGGGTGATGATCCTTTTCAGAGGAGGAGGGAAGAGAGCAAGCAAGGCTGGCTGGCTGCCTTGGCAGGGCTGATCCTTTGAAGGCAAACATCCACCCACGCGCCAGGGAAGGGGGGGGGAGATCGGCGGAGTCTGGAGTCCTGCCCCCCCCCCCTTCCACTAATCCCCAATTTCTAGGTTGCAAATGTCATTTCCAGCAAGCCGACTGCAAACCGGGAATCTGCTCGGCTCCGGCCGTGCTGGAGGAGAGAGGAAAAAGCACGTCGGAAATAGAATGAGAGAGTTGGAAAAGAGACCTTAGAGGCCTTCTAGTCCAA